TATATTGAAGAAAAATAAAGACAATATAACTAATAAAATTATTTCTCTTAGTTAATTTATTGATAATGAATAATTTATTTTTTTTTTGAATAAAGGCATTGTGGACACATAATTATAAATTAAAGAAATGCATATGTATTATTTTTTGTTGTAACTACTAAATTATTATTTATATATAATTTAATAAGAGTAAAATAGAGTACTAATTATGCCAACTTTGATTTGGATGAGATTCGAACCTAAGACCTTTTTCTATTGAAATCAATGAGTAAGTTAACGGTGAACTAACGGCAATTCTTAAAATTTTAACGGAATTAGTAACAATGTGTGGGTATTTTAGGAAATTTTAGTGTAAAATTTAAATCTGATCAATCTTTCAATCAATCTGAGCCATTCATTTGATTAAAATCTGTGACCGCCATTTTTTCTACCCATTATAGGCCTAACTCTCTTGGGCTCTTATATATATATGTATATGTATATATATATATATATATATATATATATATATATATATATATATAAGAGCGCTCATATGCGGCGGGGTCTTACGGTGCGGCGGTGCGGTCAAATTCCAGAATACACCAACAGTGTTAACAATATGCACCAACAGTGTAATAAAAACATACCCCAATGAAATGTAATAAAACATCACAAAATACACCACAGACTCAAAAAAACACACCATATAACTCACCACCCCCAATGGTGTATTTCCGAACAGTGTATGGTGTTTTTACTCACACCTAATGGTGTGTGTTTGGTGATGCAGGGCTCTGTTTACTCTGTTTTGTGTGGTGTATTTCCTAACGTTGATGGTGCATATTTGGTGAACTATTGGTGTTGCCGCACCGTAAGAAATAACCGCACCGTAAGACACTGCCGCACCTGAACCCGCCTCTATATATATATATATATATATATATATATATATATATATATATATATATATATATATATATAGTAGATAAATATTGAAGTTAATCTATTGTTGAAGTAGGCAAGTGGCTGTTTATACATACCATTATTATTATTATTATTATTATTATTATTATTATTATTATTATTATTATTATTATTATTATTATTATTTAGCTTTATAATATTGATGTATATAATTGTGCAATTGAATAGCACAAGTCTATTCATGTTATGATAATTGATAAATTAATACTAAGTTCTCTTTAATTTTATACTTTAACTAAATTAAATGTCCAAAGAGAAAAAAAGTAATAAAATTATAAAAAGGAAAAAGATAATAGAAACAATCAATACAATATGGATAAAATGCAAATTAAAATTGAAAATAATTTGTAAGTGTATATAATAAAGTAAGTATAATGTATAAGTTATTATATTTAACTATGTTATTTAGTGGCACTAACAATTTAGTGGAGAAGATTTAAAAAAAAAAAAAAAAAAAAAAATTAGAAGAGAAAAGAAGAGTAAAATTGAAAATAATTTATGACGTACGGTACATGAAAGTAAGTACAATGTACGAGTTAATACTACAATTGATTACACTAACATATTTTTTCTCTTGTTTAAACCCTACCTCATTGACATATATATATATATATATATATATATATATATATATATATATATATATATATATATATATATATATATATATATACTAGTATTTCATATGCGCGATGCGCAAAAATATATGCCCAATATTAATATTTAATGTTAAAATCTTAGTTATATTAATATATATATATATATTAGAATTCATATTAATATTAATGAAGTAAGAATTATAGAAATATATATTACTAAATATAATGGTAACATTTAATTAAATCTAAATAAAATCAAACTTACCAATTGAAGAATGTAAGAAAAAGATATTGTGTATGCATGTGCATGGTAATAATAATGTGAAAGATAACAGAAGTTATAATGGTAGGGATATTTTTGTCCAAATAATTATGTAGTACAACAATTATAGCATAAGGTACAAAAAAAGTTAACAGAAAAAACGGACATAAAACCAGGGACATAACCTGGATTGAAGCTTATTATGTTTATATATATATATATATATATATATATATATATATATATATATATATATATATATAAGGGTTCAGGTGCGGGGATGGCTTCCAGTGCAATTGGATACATCTTAATCATTAACATGGCGCATCTTAAATACACAAATCACCACGCACCTTAAGTCCACAAAAAGCACCTTAAGAACACAAATCACTCACCTTAAGTACAAAACACAAGCACATTAAGCACAGAACAAAGCACTTTGAGCACAAAACTCACACACTTAAGATTTTAAAATGTCTCACATTAAGCACAAACTCACGCACATTAAGTACAAAACACACGCACATTAAGTACAAAACACACGCACATTAAGCACAACCTCACGCACATTAAGCACAAAACTCACGCACTTTATTAACTCACAGACCTTAAGTTTTAACAACTACTGACATTAATCACTAACCTCACACACATTAAGGACAAACCCTACGCACCTTAAGCACAAAAGCCCACACTTTAAGTTTAAACAACTACTCACGTTAAGCACAACCCCACGCACATTAAGCACAAAACTCACACACCTTACGCATAAGACTCATGCATCTTATATACAAAACTCACGCACATTAATCACAGAACCGCTCACCTTAATATTGACCTAGATGCAAAAATTACAAAATTGCCACTGCATTTTTTTTTTAAATTATGGTAATCTTGAACGTTGATTTAAGCGAGATGAATGGCCAAGATTAAACCGCACAACCGCACCTGGACACCCTAACCGCACCAGAACCTAAATCTCTCTTTCTCTCTCTCTCTATGTATATATATATATATATATATATATATATATATATATATATATATATATATATATATATATATATATATATATATATATATATATATATATAGGGAAGGGTTCAGGTGCGGGTATAGCTTCCCGTGCGGTTAGATCTGAGCCGTTGATCAAATCTAGATCAACGGCTCAAATCAATAAAAATTAAAAAAAAAAAAAAAAAAAAAAACGCGTGTCTGGAAGTAAGAAACACCTCAAGTGTTAGATCTTAAGCACAAACTCACGCACATTAAGCACAACCTCACGCACATTAAGCACAAAACCCACACACTTTAAGTATCAATTCACAGACCTTAAGTTTCAACAACTATTGACATTAAGCACAAACTCACGCACATTAAGTACAAAACCCACGCACATTAAGCACAACCTCACGCACATTAAGCACAAAACCCACGCACTTTAAACATTAACTCACAGACCTTAAGTTTCAACAACTACTGACATTAATCACTAACCTCACACACATTAAGCACAAACCCTACGCATATTAAGCACAAACTCCACTCACATTAAAAACAAATCTCACGCATCTTAAGCACAAAAGCCCACACTTTAAGTTTTAACAACTACTCACATTAAGCACAACCACACACACATTAAGCACAAAACTCACGCACCTTACGCACAAGACTCACGCATCTTATATACAAAACTCACGCACATTAATCACAGCACCGCTCACTTTAATTTTGACCTAGATGCAAAAATTACAAAATTGCCACCGCGTTTTTTTTTTTTTTTTAAATTTTGATAATCCTGAATGTTGATTTAAGCGAGATGAATGGCCCAGATTAAATTGCACAATCGCACCTGGGCACCATAACCGCACCCGAACCTAATTCAACGCGAGTACCATTAGACCATATAATCTTGGTACATAAAAGTTCACATATTCATTATATTAGTAAAACATTATATAAAGAAGTGACTATCGGGACACGTCTCAACTCTCAACTAGTTAATTGATCCGAATTGAAATAAAGTCCATATATAACATTTGTATGAGACTGTCTTGCGGGTCTCAATCCATTAGAGATGAGTCAGATCTTTAATTAATGGATTAAATACTTGATTAATATTTGACGTTATCAATCAAACTATCAAAGATTCGATCCATCTCACAATTGAGACCCATGAGACAGACTCACACAAATTTTTGGCTATCAGGTGAAGCAGTGAGAGTTATATATTTAAGTTTGAAGTCAAAATTTAGTGTAGCATTATATTAAGAAGTGATTATTGTGAAGCATGACATTAAACTAATTTGATTGGTGAGAAGAAAAGGGATGGGGCTCAACTAACGGTGTCAGCCATCAAGACTGCGACAGGATTGGAAGCCGCACGTGAAAATGCTTGACCTCTATTGCACGCCCAGCATTAGCTTTCATGAATATAATAATAATTATTATTATATTACACAAATTAAATAACATTAACAAATACATAAAAGTCACGTAAATTTGATGAAAGCCCCCGCAATTAAAAGCGGCCGTTTGGTAATGTTTTATTTATGCCTAGCTTTTACCTTCACATCATGTGAATTGTGAAACCAAAACCCACTATCTTACACAAAATATATATTTTAAATTTACTTAAACCAAAACACAAATTTCTTTATTTTATGGCTATTCAATTCATACACAAATTAAAACCAGTACGTAAGCATAGCGTAATTATTATACTTAATGATGTTTAAAAAATTAAACCTGGAATATAATATCATGACAATAAATAAATAAATTAATAATATATGTTGAGGAATTGAATGTAAACTAAGATTTTAGTATGTTTGGGATATTATATTTTTTTAGTATTTAGTAGAGAGACAGGAGTAAAAAGTCATTTTGTGTCTGTTGGGTACCCTGTTTATGGCAACAGATTTGGCAGTTGATCTATTTCCGGATCAAAAGACAACATAGGTAGGTTGCTTATTCGCACGGATGGGATGGAAGCAGCAAATTAAATGCGTTTCCTAGTCACCCAAATTTACTAGTCAAAAAGTTAATCTCTCATTCATGTGAACTACCTCACAAAAGCAAATTATAATAAGCCGATATAGAAAGTACTATAAAGTAGAGTGATAGACGAGTGTCGACTGCTCCCTCCTTCACAACAGTAATAATATCTGCGCTGAAATTTTCTGACCATATTTATCATCATCATTCATGTGAAAACATACATTGGGAGTTCAGTTCAGTTCAGTTCACTACATACTAGCTAGCCATTAGTACCACGTTATTCCATCTGCTCTGCTCTGCTCTGCTACACATCCCATCCCATGTCAATACTAACATAACAAGAGAAACTGTTCATACTTCTCTACCCAAACTCTGCACATGCAACTACTATGCAAACATACAAGACCCCCACCCCCTTAGCTTGCTTGCACTCAGTAGAATCTTAGCAACAACATTCCATCTATTCCTTCACGATATCATTGGCATCTTTCCACGTCGATCATCAGATGATGATACAGCTTCTCGAACCCGACTCGTCCCTGTCCTAAAATACCACCATTTCTATCTAATCATAAATGTGAATCAACGATACCAAAATATTACTCTTGATTAAAGCCTAAAAATTAACCATATTCTAAACAAAACAAAATATTAGAAACAGTAACTATTACCTCTCAGAGCTGCTGCCTGATTTCCTCAAAATTGTCAATCTTTTTGCTTTCTTAACAAACTCACTGCAATAAGAAGAGGTTATTAATTGTTAAGGTGAGGTTCTGCAAATTAAATATAATGTTTCAAAAACAAACATACTCATCCAACCTGAATGGGTCATCTCCAATTTGTTTGACAGCACCTGCTGCATCATGGTAGAGCACACGCTTCATCACCTCTGAGCTTTCTATCCCAAACATGTGTGCGAGTTTTTTGTATAGCTCTTCATATGAATCCACGACTGAGAGGTCAAGAGTTTGGCTTATATCCTCTGACTCCATGAAAACTTTGCAGTGACCAGTATCAATGCCAAGTTCAGCTGAATTCACTTCTTTCCCGCCTGGGGAACTTTGCACTTCACGAATTTGTGAAACCGGACCAGTTGGGCAGTTCTGAGACATTTGCTGCTCAGTGAGTATTGGATGACCAAAAAGCAAGAACCGAGGAGTCATCAATTCATCAGTTGTATCTGACTTCTGGGTGGAATTCCCCATGGTAAGTAAGCAAGATATATTCTCACTGTTATCATTTTGGCCTCTCGTAATGGCATCAGGGATTCTGCAATCTGTATTAAATTGCCGGAGGGATGGTGGTGAGAGTCCCATATTCAGTTTGTTGTTAAGGTGAAGATCTAATGAAGGCTGGCCAGATTGCGGATGCCTGGCTCCCTGTAAACCTGCAGCCACATCAGTTAAACAATAAAATGGGCTGCTGGCACCAAGGGCATTCCCTGAAAATGATGGTATTTGAAATTGGCTGTCAAGTGAGAAATCTTGTGGTAAACACAACTTTTTTCTTGGTGGCGAGAAAGGTGACATATGAATGATGGGCATATTTGAAACCAATTCGACCATCCACGGGCTTACATTCTTCACATTTTGAAGCAAATCTGGTTCATCCCATGTCACCTGTAGCATATCATCAAAGGAAACAGTAAACCAAAATGTAATTGAAGCTCATAAGTTCAGTCAATCCTTTATATATAGAAAAGATCTACGATAAACAAAATCATTTGAATGTATCACTCATAAGGTTAGCAGCATAGAATGCACAGGTTGAAAAATTCACTCACATCTAAAGCTTTTATACTGCATTCCATATTTAACTGTCCATCAATTATGTATCCATTATGAACTATTCAATTCCATTTTAAGCTGTCTCAGCGCATACTACAATTAACAATCGATACGCCCCCATACATGTATCAGGTAATTTAAGTAAACAAAAAGATGTGTTGGCATTCAAATCAGGAACCATTCATCAAGGAAGTGAGTAGGAAACATAGCCCTATAAGAGTTGCAGGTCACTACAGAACTACAAGAGGAAACAATTCATTTTGATTTAACATAATATTGAAAACTATGTTATTAGGTAAAACAAATATGTAATGTCACACATGTGAAAAGGGTAATAGGAATGTGAGAGATGGGGGACTATCCAGTTTGCTAAAATAATTCATGTACAGAAGCAAAATTTAAGCAGAGTAAGGACTAGAGGAGCTGCATTACCTGAAGAAGCCGCCAGGGTGAATTGGGCCAGCGGATGGGGTCATTAACTCGAACAGAAGATACTGTTCCCATGAACCAACTAATTCGAGAAGAATCTTCAGTTTCAAAGGCCATTTTGAACCTCATCCTTGCACACCATTGGATCCTCATAGCAGAATGCACAGAGGAAGCCCTAACACAAAATTCAGGCGTGCTTGCACGTGGGTAATAAACAACTTCAAATGGTTTACCACTACCAGCAAGGCGTGCAGCTTCAAGAACCGATTCAGGTTTCACTCTTCCTCTTTCCCTAAAACGCCCACCAGAAGAACTCAGCTTTGGAGTACTAGTGCTTCTAATAGTTTTGTTATCATCTTCCCTCAAAAAAGATGGATATGCACCATAGTTTCCAGCAGCAGAGCTCCACCCTTGCGGAGCATCTGAGCCACCTATACCACCCTTTTTAGCCCTACGGATTCCAACAAAAAGTTCTCCATTGTTTGCTCTCAGGAACACAATTGAATCCCCTGCAACTAGCTTTTTCTGGTTCACAAAAGTACTCCACCCCGTTGTCAGCAAATGCCTCCTTGGTGTCCCCCGGTAAATGTGCCTAAACTTCCATGTTTCACCGTGAACATCCTTAGCAGTCACAGTCTGGACTGGTGGATCTGCCGAGTAATCCAATGGTGGAAAGATGGTTTCTGCACAGTACCTAGGAACTGAGAAACCACCACCATTGTTAGCATCAGATTGAGTCAATGTCTTGGCAAAGGAATTCGATTTTTCGGCTGTATCAGGTGCAGTGGTGTTGCTCCCTAAAACCACATCATCATCAAAGCCATGTTCTCTGCCAATTGGAACCAGCTTAAGCTTAGCATAAACCTCGTCTGACTCGGGGTCGGCCAAATACTTCACAGTGCCAACCCTGCAGAGAATCATAGGCGAGATTTTTGTCAAATTCGAGAAGTCGACATTAGTGAGCGTGTGCTCCCCATGTCCTTGTGGGAAATAGTAGACCTTGGAGTTCACCGGAGGCATTTGCACCATCCCTCCGGCACAGGCATGCCACAACTGCGGGTCCAAACACTTGTCGTCACCCAACTCCTTCATTTCTCCAATTTTACAATTGTTCTGCTAATACCACGACTGCGGAAGACACGTCTCTGTTCCGCTCTTCACTTCAGAATACTGCCAATCACAAAAACAAATATGTCAACAACTTCAAGGTAAAAATAAAGACAAAAAGCGTTAAAAATAAAATAAACAACTAACTAACTAAGTTAAAATAAGGCTCCACTACAAAAATAAACGTAAAATACCAAAATTCCAGTGAGAAACAATCCAAAAACACACACAGCAAACATTTACATTACAAACACAGAAACATACAGGGAATAGAGACTAGGTGAAGACAAGAGATCAACGAAGTGTACCTGTCAAGGAGTACAGGCTCCGATCCAGAGCGCCTCGATTTCGCACGAATTACGGTTCAACAGAACAAAAGCGGTCAAGGCGAACTCGGAAAGTGAGCACGAGGACAAACACGTACTCGTGTCGATCAAAACCAAACCCTAAGCCGCAAGTCCAACGACGACGGCGATGACTCCTCAGTCACTACTACAGCAACATTTTATGCGCGAAGCACAGAAATGCATTGGCAGACGGTACCGGCACTATGATTCAAGTGTTCACCTTCACCTTCGCGCCTTCGTCTCCAACTGGAATTCAGCACGCCGGCATTCTTCTTCATTCCCCGTGCTGCGAGACCTAATCCTCAAGATCCCTGCACACCACGCATATGCATTCGCGAATGTCAGTATCTCCGCGCACAATAATCGGGGGGGCCGTACGCGCACAGTATAAATTCTTTGCTGAAACAACAAAAATGCGAGGGAGTAGGCGATGAATTTCTCAGGCACTCAACTGAAAAAAACAACAGAACGCCTCACAAATCGCCATACTCTCACACTCTTGCTCTTCTAGTGAGAGAAAAAAAAAAAAAAACAAAGAAATAAAAAGCCAAACAAAAAAAAAAAAAAATTAAATGGGAATATCGTTCCAAGTCGCTTTCTCGCTGTAGCATCTTCGTTGCGGTTTGGGCTATTTATATTGATACTCCACACCCCACCCCCACTCCCACACCCCACCCCGGATCTGTTAGAGAGACACACCGGATTAATAACAATTAAATAAACCCATAATTAGAACAACCCCACCCAACTTATTAGACTGTTAGCTCGGTAATCATAAAATTTCGAATTCAACCCCAGGTGAAACTAGTTAATTAGCATTTTTTGTTTGATCGGATCAATTATAAACAACCTAACACAATTTATTCCTTATGATTTGGACTAATTTACCACTTTATAATTCTTTCCCTACTAAAATTACAAAATCATAGACTTTCTTGTAGTGATTGCAGTTTTCTCGTGACTAAAAAATTCATAATTTAATAATTTTTTTTGTTGAAAGTAAAAAATTCATAATTTAATTTTAAACACTAATATTTGTTGTTTTTGGTGGTTATATATGAAAATATCGCGTGATTTATAGCAAGATGGGAACAGTGTTTATATATATATATATATATATATATATATATATATATATATATATATATATATATTTACCGTGTCTGTTGGGGGATCTGAGCTGAGCAGGGAGAACAGTTATTGACTTTGAGCAGGGGAGGGGTTTTTAACTCTAGGTAAAAAAGAGTAAGAATTCTCGTTTGTCAGTATTGTACCCTCGGCTAGGCTTAACAACACCTAGAACCGGCTAGAAGTGGAAGGCTAGGATCGGCTTTAGGTGCTGTTTGGATGATTAGACAACATGGTTAAATATTTTTCATTATTTTATGTTTTCTTGTTCTTTAACCAAAATTAAACAATGAGAACCCATGTACCAAAAAACAAACAATTAAAACCCATGCATTAAGATATGGTGAATGACACAAATGTAATGATATTTAACCCCCACCCCCACCCCCACCCCATCCCCCCAACCACCCCCAGATAACAGTCCAAACCGTCACTATTTCCAACTGCAATATACATTTTTTATTTTATCTAGTTAGTACTAAGTTTTTTGTATGTCCTACATCACCAGACTAGTTTATATTAGCTTCATCAATCCAATATTCCTTTGAAGTGCAATCAATATCAATATATATAATATATACACATTTCATAATCATGGGTAAATTTCTTTTAAAGCAAATTAAATAGACTTTCTCTTATTTACGGGAAAACGTGTAGTCATTATAAGAAGGGAGAAACGTATAGTCATTAAAAGAAGGTACACAATATATGAAGTCAACTTTATGACTCTAGCTGGAAAAATGCAATAAGAAGGTAAACTAATCTACGTAATCCATAGTTGACAGGATCAAACCAAAAAGATCAATAGAAAACTCTCACGGATAATCAAACTTGAAATCTTATGATTACCAACCAAATACACTTTCTAATCACTCATGTTTTTGTTTCTGATTTTGGTTTTTGTTGCCTGGCCACATGTTTTCTTAGTCAAGAGTCTCAAGACTAATTCTGTGTTTTTGTTTTTTTCCCTCTGACCACATGTTTCTTCCGCCCGAGACTAATTATGTTTGTGTTGAGTTTTAATTGTTAATGTTGTAATTATTTTAAACCCGTTTATTTTCAGTTAGAACAGAAATATGTTTTTGAGACAATTAGGTACACCATACTTATTACCATTTTGTATTGGATTTACTCTAATCTTATGTGTATAAACTAATCTCCTTCAAGTTCGTTTCTTCCACAACCTCTCTCAAAAGAGCTTGTTCAAGACTCACCTTCCATAAATGTTATGGAAGGTAAGCCTATCTCTTTCTCAATTCATATCTTATTAGGAAAATAATCTACTTCTTTTGAAAGAGGCCTAGTTTGTTTCTTACATTTTTGTTTAGTTTAATTTGCCTTCCATTATTAGGGGTTTTGGTGTCAACTTCTTTAAGAGTGTTTTCTTTAAAAGATTTGCATACTTGTGTTTGTTTTCTAGGATTTTAAGATTGAACAGAAATGCAACAATGATGCACGTAACAAATATTGCATACTAAAAGTAGAGACTTGTATATGGTATTACTTATTAATTAGTCAAACTCTTCAAATTACAAGATTTTCTTGTTAATTTTTAAAAATATAGTATATAACTTTTTTACCTGTGATATTGAACAAAAATCATAAAAGTTAAATAAAAATAAAAATAATGCATACACACACATTTGGTATGACTCCCATGAGAATTAGATTTGCAGTGAGAATCTGCAGACTAATCTTATCTATCAATGCTATAATTATAGAAAAATACGGTGACATTTTTTTAATTACAATTATGTTTGCATTTTGAAATTCTCTTTCCAATATGTAATTGTAATTATAGAAATGTCATTGTGTTTTTCTTAACTTTTAGTTATTAATTATTATCTTATATGGACAAATTAGATTAGTCCACACCTTCACATACGAAGATCATTTGAACATGTTCACACACACACACACACACACACACACACACAAACACACACACACACACACACACACACACACACATATATATATATATATATATATATATATATATATATATATATATATATATATATATAATATAGCATAATCAAGGTGAAAATTTTTTCCCTCCATTTGGTGCATTTGAGAGTTATGGAATATCAAGGGTTTAGGAACTTCATAATCATCATAAATAATTAAATAAAGATGAAAGAAAATTAAAGTGAATAATAATAATAAAAAGAGTTTAGTGGAGTGGAGAGTAATTCATAAAATTAATTTGAGTAATAATTGTTGATCCATAATTGAAAATTAACATTGCAATACTTATGTTATGTTTCTAAGAGCATCCCCATTAAGGCATTGTTCACAGTCTTTTAGGAAAAAATGACAACTTAAAAGAGAGAGATGGAGGAGAGAGAAGAAGTAGGGTGCTCCTGCAAAGACCCAAGCTTTTTCAGAGTTTGTGGGTCTCACCAAGAGAGAAAAGGAAGTTTGCGGGTCAATTTTTTTTATTTTTTTCAGCTTTGTTTTTTTTTTTTTCTTTTTTTCTTTTTTCACATATTTTTCTCTCTCCTCTATCTTATTTGTCATCTAAAAACTTGTGCTAAAAAACTTATCTATTGAGGATGCCCCTATAAGCATTTACTATCTCCACACCAATTGCAAATGACATCAGCAAAGTACGAATGCATTAATTGTGTTCACATTTACTGCAATAAATAAAACATTATTACAAATTTCAATAACCACATGTTTCAACTTTCAATATTTACATGAACATCTACACCTACTTCAACATTATAAATAAGTCATCATCCACAACCAATATAATACTACAATTATGTTTTTGTCGTGGTTGGAATTAGGAGGATGATCGTGACTAGAATAGGGAGAAGAATATTTTTGGGAGCTTAGATCTCCTATAGAGCTTTATACCGTGCGATCTAGGGAAGATGAATATTTCTGGGAGCGGAAGAACTCAGGTAAGTTTTTCTGTTTCCACAGCCATTAATTTCTTTGCTAATTTAAAGTATGTCAAAAATTTAATTGATAAATTTGTTAAATTAATAATTGTCTGTGCATCGCACTGGACAATTACTAGTATATATATATATATATATATATATATATATATATATATATATATATATATACATATATAGGGAAGGGTTCAGGTGCGGGTATAGCTTCCCGTGCGGTTAAATCTGAGCAGTTGATCAAATTTAGATCAATGGCTCAAATCAATGAAAATTAAAAAAAAAACGCGTGCCTGGAACAAAGAAGTATAAGCTAAGGTGCACCTTAAGTGTTAGATCTTAATCACAAACTCACGCACTTTAAGTACAAAACCATCACACATTAAGCACAACCTCACGCACATTAAGCACAAAACCCACGCACTTTAAATATTAAGTCACAAACTTTAAGTTTCAACAACTACTGACATTAAGTACAAAACTCACGCACATTAAATACAAAATCCACGCACATTAAGCACAAACATCACGCACAAAACTCACGCACTTTAAATATTCACTCACAGACTTTAAGTTTTAACAACTATTCACGTTAAGCACATCCCCACGCACATTAAGCACAAACCTCACGCACATTAAGCACAAAACACACGCACATTAAGCACAAAACTCACGCGCATTAATCACAGATCCACTCACCTTAATTTTGACCTAGATGCAAAAATTACAAAATTGCCACCGCGTTTTTTTAAAAAACTTTGATAATCTTGGACGTTGATTAAAGCGAGATGAATGGCTCAGATTAAACTGCACAACCGCACCTGAAGCCCTCACCCGCACGAGAACCTAAAAATCTATATATATATATATATATATATATATATATATATATATATATATATATATATATATATATATGGTTCACTGTATGCTTAAAGTGCGTCAGTTGTATGAAACTTACGGTAAACCATTTTTTAAATCTTAGGTGCGCGGTGCGTGGTGAGTTTTATGCTTAATGTGTGTGGATTGTGTATTTATGGTGCTACTTGTTTAATTTAGTCAAACTCTTCAAATTACAAGACTATCTCATTACATTTTTATTTTTTGTATGTAAGAATTAAAAAAAAAAAAATCATTGACGATTAAGAAGATGAAATATATCATGCAAATAAATACTTTAATGATTATATCTAGCTTAATGCGCAATAAATCTTAGAAAAACATTAATGGCACGTTTGGTTCATGGAATAGGTCAGGAATGGAATAATATTTCTTAGAATAGACATATTCAATTGTTGTTGTTATTGTTATTCTCTCTCACACACGCATGCATATACATGTATATAAATATAAATAAATAAATAAATAAATAAATAAATATATATATATATATATATATATATATAATAACATTCAATATATCATAATCATATTATTATTATTATTATTATTATTATTATTATTATTATTATTATTTATAAGGTATTTATGTCTTTAAAACTTATTGCATTTCTATTCCTTTAATCAACCAAACACTAAATTCAATTTCTAAAGTCTATTTCTTTAGCGAACCAAACAATAGAATACAATT